AGGTGGTCTCTGAGGTAACCGTGGGGGACCTAGCTCAGGGGTCTCCATGTGGAGAGGGAAGCAGAGGTGGTCTCTGAGGTGACTGTGGGGGACCTAGCTCGGGGGTCTCCACGTGGAGAGGGAAGCAGAGGTGGTCTCTGAGGTAACTGTGGGGGACCTAGCTTGGGGGTCTCTGTGTGGAGAGGGAAGCAGGGGTGGTCTCAGAGGTAACCGTGAGGGACCTAGCTCGGGGGTCTCCACATGGAGAGGGAAGCAGGGGTGGTATTGGAGGTGACTGTGGGGGACCTAGCTCGGGGGTCTCCACGTGGAGAGGGAAGCAGAGGTGGTCTCTGAGGTAACCGTGGGGGACCTAGCTCGGGGTCTCCATGTGGAAAGGGAAGCAGAGGTGGTCTCAGAGGTGACCGTTGGGGACCTAGCTCGGGGGTCTCTGCGTGGAGAGGGAAGCAGAGGTGGTCTCAGAGGCGCCTTTGTGGGACTTAGCTTGGGGGTCTCCGAATGGAGAGGACCTGCCCCCTAGCTGGAACCACTGAAGGTCTGAATGATCATAAATAATAAACCAGGAGCCTCGTCCTCTTGGCTGAGCTAGTAGGCCCCTGGCTTTCCTGCAGGCATTTTCTCCAGTGTCGTGCCTGTGCTCACATGTTTAGCTGCGTGACTCTCTCTGTTGTGACTTACTTTGCCAGCAGGAATGACCAGGAGGGATGGGGATTCCACAGGCAGGAGCAGCCACAAGCGTAATGCAGGCATCTCTGACTGCGAATTGGCTTTCTGGGTTAGGCTGTGGACACCATTCTCCCAGCTGGTCTAATGTACGTCTGCCCCTCAGGGAGAGGTGGGCAGCCCATGCAGGCACATCAGACACAGCCAGAGTCTGTGAGCTCCTGAGGACGAGGCCAGGGACCCAAGTGGCAAAGGGCCAGTGAGGCCTTGATACCAGCTGGGGGTTCCCCAGGCGATACCACAGGACTCAGCCCTGGGGTTCCCTAGCAAGGGGACGAGGAGTGGCATGTGGTGGGAAGAGAGGCAGCCTGAACTCGGAAGGGAACCAGGTTTGGCAAGCACACAGTTCTGCCACAAGCCAGAGGGGCAATCTTCTTCCGATTTCGTAAAGTGCTCATGGCCTCAGTTTCCTCCTCTGTGTGATGCAGAGGCCAGAGGGCAGGATACCTCTGAAATGCTGCCATCACATCATCATCCATGTCAGATTCCAGAGGACTCACTGGACATCTGCTCCACCCTGAGGCCACGAGCCCCCTGCCCAGCTGGGAGTGTGGGGTTGGGTGGGGAGTGAGGGAGAGAGGACCCTCCGAGGAATGGGAAAGGAGCACACGCTGTTCCTGGCGTGCCACAGAAGACCCAGCCCAAACCAAGTTCAGTTACACACTCTGTCTGCGAAACTGACACAGACAACATCCCAAACCAAGTTCAGTTACACACTCTGTCTATGAGACTGTGACACAGACAACAGCCCAAACCAAGTTCAGTTACACACTCTGTCTGCGAGAGTGTGACAGAGACAACAGCCCAAACCAAGTTCAGTTACACACTCTGTCTGCGAGAGTGTGACAGAGACAACAGTCCAAACCAAGTTCAGTTACACACTCTGTCTGTGGGACTGTGGCACAGACAACAGCCCAAACCAAGTTCAGTTACACACTCTGTCTGTGAGA